TTCATCTTCAGCGTCAGCTTCTGGGCCTTGGCCTCGGTGGAAACCTTGCGGCTGGTGAACGGGGCGAAGCCGAGCGAGTGCCAGATGTTGGAAAGCTAAAAATGAGAAATTTAATAACAAAAATTTAGACTACATCATCACGCTGCTTCTCGTCCAAATGTTCCCAATGTTGCGTGATGCCCTTCTTCAGCAGCCCGACGACGTTGACAGCATATCGACGGCGGTCTTCAAGATGCGCATCACCAGCCCACGTCTCTTGCATATCCCTAAAGAGCCAATATCATAAAAAAAAAGAATATATTTTTACCTAGCATATCTTGTCAAAAGCTCGTAGTCGCACAACGACTTCATCTCCGGGGTCTCCAGCGAAAAGTAGATGTTGGCCAGGCAATTGGTGGCCTATAAATAATTTCAAGATCTGGGAAAGCTCTCACGTTTTTGCCTTGTGCCATGGCGAATTTGACCTTGTGCCGTTCGTCTTCCATCTGCTTGTTCGTCTTCGCTTTCTTGTTTGCTTCGAGGATCTCGGCTTTCTTGGACACCTTGTGCTTGCCGCCGCCTAGAAAATGGATACATTTGGCGCTTCCGATTCACGGGGCAAAATTTCCAGCAAAGATTTTCCACTTTTTTCGCAAAAAGCAAAAATGTCCAAAAATTCAATTCTTGTCATCAAAATTAATAAAAACGGTCTTAAATACACTGTCATATTAAAATGGCGCCTAAATTCTTATGCTCAAAAATATACCTCCTTTCTTCTGCCCGGCCCATCCCTTCTTGTTCTCCTTCTCGGCGGCTTCATCGGCGGTGGCCGTCACCCTAGCAGCCCGCGAAAAGTCGACGACAAGGTTCGTGCCGCGGCCCTCCAGCGAGTGCGCAAATTGCTCATACCAACGGCTCAAGAATTGACGGCTCTTGTTGGCCCGCTTCTTCAGGCGTTCGTTCGTTTCGACCTTTTCGGTCTCCTGGGCGCATAGTTCGGGCACGGCGTGGAAACGCCAGCGGTAGCGCGTCTCCAGCTGATCGTCGAACGGCTCTAAAATGGCATGAAAAGCTGTTAGTCAAGTAGCGTACCATCGATGAGCACTGGCTTATCCCTGCCCTTCACATCCTTCAAGTAGGTATCGAACAGCGCGGAGGAGATCTGAAAACGAAAAAAAATTATTTTTTTATTCAAGCAGAAATTAGTTTCGAAAAAGTTCCGTTTTGGACTTTTTTAAAAATATATTTTAGACCAAAAAGTCAAACGTTTTCGAAAATCTTTAGAAATTTTAATTTTTTCGTTTTAAAAAGTATGTAAACTGCTAGAAAAATGATACACAACTCGTTATAGAGAGGAGAATTATAGCACTGTTGGGACACCTCATAAATGAGAAATCAAGCACATAATTACCCACATTGTGAATGCAGGGCACCGCCAGTTCCTTCGCGGTGCCGGCCGTCGGCTTGCTGAGAAGCTTCTCGTCAGCGTCAACCGGAAGCGGTTTCTTCGAGCCGGCAATGGCTTGTAGAGCCTCGAATTCCTTCTGAAGACTGGCTGGCAGCACGTTGTCTCCAGCCTTGATCCCGTCGAAAAGAGCTGCGACCAAGCGACCATCCCAGAGGTCGATGATCGGAAAAGCCACGGCTTCCTGGCCAATCAACTTGGTTGCAGCTTGCAGAAAGAGGTTGCGCTCCAAAGGCAGGGCAACTGAAATAAATATAAGGTTTCTAGCTAAGCCTTACCGGGTTGCCCTTTCTTCTCCGCGGGATATTGACGTGCGGCGCCGAGCTTCTTATTGAGGATAGAGGCGAGGATGACGGCGTTGGCAAAGTCTTCAAAGTCGGGGCTGAGCTTGTCGCCGGATCTAAAGAGAAAATCGAGGTAAAAGTTTTCCATCAAATTAGTGTTTTGGTATCGCTGATAGCACGTTTTAACTGGAATTAAGGTAGGAAAACGATCAAAAATGATAGAAAAGTACTTGAAAAAGTCGCATCTGGCGAGACAAATCAATTTTTTTTAGCTAAAATTAAATTTTTACTTAAAATTTTGACGGTTTCTGTGCTCAGGAATACTAAAAAAAATGTACAAACGCTTCTAGTGCATCACATAGACGATAGAATAAGAATAGATCCACAAGAATCTAGTGATTTTTCTGACCAGTGATGCAGACGAGAAAAATCACAACAGCACTGACCCCTTCAGCTGCTTGATGATGTTGGCCCAGGCGGTCGGCGCATCTTTTCCGGCGAGTTGCGACGGAGCGGCAGCAGTTTCCTGGCACGAGCCCGAGCCCCACAGCGCCTCGAGGTACTGCTCGTGGTTGGCCGCGGTGACGAGTCTCGGCGAGATGTAGAAGGCTCTCACGGACGAGAAGTTGACGACCAGGTGGCTGAGCGGCACGACGGGAACGGTACGGGCAAGCACGTCGAGTACTAAAACCAGCAATAACGTCAATTAGGGCTCAAAAGCTACCGATAGTTTCGAAATGAGCCTTGGTATTCACGTGTTCGTCGGGGCAGATGCCGGACACCGGATCGGAGGTGCTCGTCATCTAAAAACCAAAAGTTATCGCGACGAAAGAAACTTACAAAAAACGAGGGCGTCAGATCGGCGATGTAATGCGCCCAGCGAGGGTCCATCGGAGAGTCGAAGCTCTGTAATCACATAGACATAAGTAGAATAGATTCTTTCACATTGTCAGGGTAAAGATATGGATTTTTCGACCTGTTTTTTTTTAAACTTCTCAAAAGTTTTTAAATAGTTTTTCTCGGTGAAACCTAATTATTTTTCACTAAAACAATATTAAAACATTTGCTATTAAGTTACTAGACATCAAAACCCAAAAAAGTTCGGTTACCCCCCTCCGATAATGCGAAAGAACCGTTCAACCATACCTCGATTTCATCCTTGTGAGCTCCCTGCATCAAATGGGCGATGACAGCCGCCCGCATGAAGCCCAGCGTGGTGTCCTTCTTGAACAGATCGCCCAGACGGTTGAAGAGCACCAGCTTGAACTTGCCGCCAAGACGGGTGAACTGGTCGACAAAGTTGTCAACCTAAAAATGGACGTGGAAAACGGGGGAAGGGTGAACCTGGGCGATGAGCACACGCGTTTGCCCGCCATTGTGCCAGTTGTGGTAGCTGTGGGCGGCGCATTCGAGCAGCAACGAATCGATGGACACCATGAAGAACTCGACGTCGGCGAACTCGGGGATGATGTTCGTGTATTGGCACGGGAAGCGGGAGATCACCTAAATGATCATCACATGAGTAGAAAATAAGAAATAGTTTTACTGTTGGCGTTCCAGTATTAGCGTGATACTGGCATAATAGAGGGTATAACTATGTCGAGATCTCGAGTTGGCTCTATGCGGTCTTTGACATCATCGGGGGAAAGCAAGTTTTATTGGCACTCGTCTAGACCGCCCAGTAACGTTCGGAAGTATGTTAATAATGCTTTTAGTGACAAAAAGTATAAAAACGGTCAAAAACGGCTATTTCTGGCCGAAAAACCGATGTCTTTGTATTTTTTCTAATAAAATCGGCAAGTTTTTATGTTTAGGGATAGGAAGAAACCAGTGTAAAACACTTCCGCTATTCATATTTGAAAAATTCTGTCTCAAGAAAAAAGTTTTGGTTTCCTCCACCTTTCTGTTTTCGGGATGAATCAGACTTGAAAAGCCGCGAGGCGGTTTTTCGAATGAAATATCCTTGAAGTTTTCCACTATTATTTACCTCTCCAAGATCGTCACTCATGTAGTCGACGACCACATTCTCATCCTCGACGTACTCGTCCTCGGCGCCGAGGTTCGACTCGCTGGCCGCATCCGTATCGGGTTCGCTCTGAAAGAACAGATTGAAAAGCGGGAGAACCGCTACCAAATCTTCGTCAGCAGCGGCAGACACCGGCTTCACAATATCCTCAGCTTCTTCGAGCACATCGGCCACGGAAGCGGTACGCGAGCGGGGCAAGCGCACCGAATCCGAGACGGTTGGTGGCATTGTACCTGCAAAAAACGGACGTGAGATAATATAGTTTCGCAGAGAGAAGTAAAATAACTTTAGCTAGCCGACTGACTAGTTTTAGAAACATAAAAGTAAAAGTAACAATGCTAGAAATAGAGAGGAGCTGCGCTGGCGCCTGATATATCTCAATAGCTGCGCTTTTTCAAGGCAGTGTAATTCAAAGCCTTTCTTCCTAAAAACACATTATCGCGCTTAATTTCTTAGTTTGCGGAAATGGCCTTTGAAGCCGGCGGGGCTTCGACACGGGGAGTATTCAGAATCCGGCAAACCACTCAGGAAAGCGAGACCCGCGGTCGGACCTGTTGGAAGCCATCCTTTATCTGGCGCTGGTTTTTGTGCTGATGCCTAACACAAAAACGGGATCGCTAACATTTCTAAAAGTTCAAAAACTGGAACGAAGCCGAAATAAAGCAAAAGAAAGCTACGCTTGGCTTGCACGACCCGGAATCTAGACTGTTTTGAAACACGGCGCGTGTGATCAATTGTAAGACCGCTGCAGAAAATTAACAAAGTAATCCGTTTTTGAAGTAAAACTCAAGAAAAAAAAAAAAAAGCTACCGAGAAAATTTGCAATTTTTCGTTTGCGGGAAGAAAAATGAAAGGTTCCCGGGGGCAGGTATTACGTTCCACGTTCCAAGTTACGGTATAACACGTAGCGTGTCGTATTTTTGAGGTCAACCGCCGAAAAACATTTTCGTTTTTTGAAACTATTTCTTTTCAACTGGTTTATTACTTATTGCTTCTATTAAAAATCTATTAAAAATAAAAATAAACCTCTCGATTTGTACCAAAAATGCTCTATTCGGCGCTTTTCGAGCACATGGCGCCGAACCGAGCAATCTTCTTTTGGCATCTGATTCCGTAATCTGTACAATCGGTATCTAATAGTTTATCCAAACACAAAAAACGGGGCATAATTTCGAAATCAGTCAAACGCACAAAACGAAAATGATACACAAAAAAGGGAATTTCATGAGGGTCCATATTCGATCTATTCGTCATCCATCGTCTCTTTCGTCTCCTTGGCCTTCTTCTCCTTCTTTTTCTCGTCTTTCTCCTCTTTTTCGCTTCGCTTCTTTTCTTCCTTTTTCTCGTCCTTCTCGACCGCTTTCTTCTCATCGGACGGCTCCTCGGGTTTGGCCTTTTTCTCTTCTGCAAAAAAGGTAGGTGAAATATTCGCTTTGTTTATTTTGTAAGTTTAGAGCTTTGCGACAACTTTTTGCTTAGAATTCTATAATCTTTTTATAGGTCTAGGTTTTTTCTGTAACACCGACCTTCCGTCGGGGTCTTCGGGGGTTTTTGGCTCTCGTCCTTGTCCTGCGTCACCATCACCTCCTGAAAAGCCGATAGTTTTACCGTATAGTTGGATTCACTGTAATTGAAGAAATTAGCTATATTAATTTGTTTTTGCTAATTCTATAAGCTATTATCCACGGAAAAATTAGCTCAAAAGTGCCCACCAATTCCTCCTTGTCCTTTTTCTTGGCCTCCTCCTCGGTGGGCCGTTTGCCCTTCGGCTCTTTTTCGTTGTCCTTTTCGGTTTCTTCTTTCTTGTCTTCCTTTTCTTTTTCTTTTTCTTTCTCCTTTTCCTTTTCCTTTTCCTTTTCTTTTTCTTTCTCCTTTTCCTTTTCCTTCTCCTTCTCCTTTTCTTTTTCTTTTTCTTTTTCTTTCTCCTTTTCCTTCTCCTTTTCCTTCTCCTTCTCTCGTTCCTTCTCCTTCTCTCGCTCCTTCTCCTTCTCCTTGTCCTTGTGCTCCTGGTCGGGCTCCTGCGTGCCGTCGAATGTGTTCTGCTTCTGGGGGGCTTTCTGAAAACATAGGAGTCTGATTGTAAACCTTGGAATTGATTTTTTAGGCAGCAATTTTAAGGAAAGTTTTTCGAATGTAGCACCGTCGATTTTCGTTACCTTATGCCCAAATTTATTGAGCTGGATTGGAAAATGTCTGAAACATATGCTTGTTTTTTTTACTATCTCGAAATGCCAAAATACGGATTCTTCTACCCAAAAATGGCAGGGTTTCGACAAAATTTAGATTTTTTAGCATTTTTTAGAGTTTTAACTTGAAGCATCGCTAAATTAAGTAGAGTAAGGTAAAGGTATTTATTAGAGTAAACTATATAATAAAATTATACCGACCTTATTATTCTGTGTGTTGGAGGGTGCGCGGCGTTGTGGTGGGCCGCGGCCGGTGCCTTGGGTGTTGCTGCGCTGCTTCCGGGGCGTCGCGGCCGGTGGACCGCCTGCATAGATTTGTTACGTTCAAGCAAAATCGGCTTCGTGATTTTTAATTTTATTTTCCTCTCGTAATCAGGCGCACCTTCAATCGACATCTGCGTCTTGCCCACGCCCTCGTGGCTGCATGTCTAAAAAGGCTTCTCTAGATGTCATTTTTGCGTATTTAGGGGATCTAGAAATTGCGATTTAATCTTTTAATTGAACAATAAATTAAGATTAAGAACCTAATTAAGATTGATAGGTTTTAAAAGGTTTTTCGTAAAAAAACCGACAAGCTGCTCGCTGCTGGGCGCAGCGTGGATCGACACGCGCTCCGTTTGCTCGCCGTGCGCCTGTTTGTCTGGAAAAGAAAACTTTGAGAAAAGTATATTTAATTATTTGAAAAGCTACTTTAAATACATATTATACACTTAAATTTCAAAGGAAATCCAGGAATTGGGAATTTTGGGAGCTCCGTTTGGCATAAAATCTCGATGTTTCATAGTTCTCAAATACTTTTTCAATTGTTCTTACGTTAATAATTTGTGTCGTTGTGTTTCGTAAACCAGCCGATTACAGCCGCTTCGCGACTGCAATCGGCTGGACTTCGGGCCTCCCTCCATATTCTACACCACCACATTTAATCCCTACCTTACGCTGATGCCTTCATGGCAATAACTACACTGATGGCTTCAGATACCTCCTCTAGCCAACCCCCCACAAAAACATAGCTACCTTCCCGATGGCTTCAGATACCCCTCCGGCTCGAAATTCCGTTAAAAATCTACCAAAATACCTCCCTGATGGCTTCAGATACCCCCCATGGCTGAAATCCCCTTCAAAAACTACCTAAATACCTTCCTGATGGCTTTAGATACTTTAAATAATTTAAATAATTAATTAACATAATTAAAAAGTATTAAAAGTATTAAAGTAACTCAAAAAGGCATCTGGGCGCGCGAAGGGGCCTGGGGAAGAGGGGCGAAGGGAAAGGGGGCGTGGCCTCCCGGGGAGAGGGCCCCCACTCGTTTTATTAAGGCGCCACTTTCAAAGTTAATTTTAATAATTTAAACAAAAACTTTTTCGTAATTTTTTTATCAGTTTGGGGGTTTCTGACCACGCTCTATCCGAATCCGAAGAGAGCTAAGCTCTAGCTCCTTTCCCCTTCGAGTTGAATTCGGCCGCAGACACACGGACGCCTCTACTTTTTTATTATAGTTGATGCCGTGCTCGAAAAGAACGAAAAATTGGTATTGTACTGTTAGCGGGGGGAAACTAATTTTCCGAGGGAATTCACTGCGGCCCTTTAACAAAATAGACATAAAAAGTTAAAAAAATAATGGACGTGTTCGAAAAATGTTGACCTATTGGCCAAAAATGGATCAATAATGAGCCAAAACGGCTGGTTTTCGAATTTTGAAAATTGTCCAAAATATTTTTTTGTGTAACTTTCAAGCAATCAAAAACCTCTAAAAAATATGAAAATACACTATTTGTTAAAACCCCGATAGCAATAGACGGAAAAAAAACAAAATTAGTCCCCCGCTAACAGTCTAGTACCAAAAAAATTGCACATGGCTCCAAATTACCCGTCTTTCCGCCGACGGACGGCTGGACGGCTTTGCGCGGGGTTGTCGGCGGTTTGACGCCCTTTCGCGAGGCGGGTTTCGGCCCGACTGGTGTCTAAATTAAATTCGGAATATCAATTTATTTTTACGATCTTTACGATATTGCGAATTCGTGTCATGAATGAATGAAATGAAATCAAGAATTGTAGCCAGGGTTTGCTAGCTCTTTTAAAGGGCCATTGAAGGCAACATCGTGGATACCTTAGGCGCCGGACCAGACTTTGTCGTCTGCGCCGTCTTGCACTCGACGATCAGCAGCGTGCCGACGGAGAGCATCACTGCAAATTTTGGATCATGAATTTTACGAGACTTTTTAATTAATGGTAGCTGCAACGATTTGATACTTTGCAAATCGCGGAAATTTGAAAATTAAGAATTAAAAAAATGTGCTTCGACGAAATCGGAAGCTCCTAATTTTTCTGGAAATTTATTGCCATTTTCTTACTCTCTAATTGGCGCCCCCGGATCCTGGTTTCAAAATAGAGCATCGTGCGAATTGTTTAGGCTAAATTGTCGTATCCGGTCACTAAACCGATTTTGGACTTTGATATGCCAAAATGCTCCGCAAGTCGAGCTGATTCAGGATCAGTTGAAAAAGCTTTTCGGAAACACTTCTGTCTCGAGATATGACACTTCAAAGTTTGACTTCAACCCGTTCATTATATAACCTGTTCTCGCCCCTAGAAGTCCGTTTTCAGTGCGGAAAAAGATGGATAAGTGCTCGATAAGAGCTTAGCTTTACTCACCACACCAAGTTTGAGCCTAAAAATAAGGCTTCGTGCCACCCGGGGCCTAGTCGCTTCGGATGGGTGCGAGCTCGTACAGGGTTTCGAAATCGGGGCGCCCGAGGCGCGCGTAGCGGCCAGGCGCCCCGATTTCGAAAGAGTGGAGCGGCAGCCCATCCGAAGCGACGGCCCACCTTGCCTGACAATGTTTTTTACCCAAGAAACAGCAATTCCCTACCATTCCGTTCTTTCCGATTTACAGTTGGCGTATATAGGTGTATTGCGTACTACGTCTCGGCATATTTTGAGACCTTGTAAGCTACACATCTCTCGATAGCGATTTTTCCGAAAAGTGTTTTCAACTGATCCTGGATCAGCTCAACTTACTGAGCATTTTGACATAACAAACTCCGATTTTCGTTTAGTGACCGGATACTTCAGTAGCCAACTTTGAAGTGTCATATCTCGAGACAGGAGTGTTTCCGAAAAATTTTTGCAACTGATCCTGAACCAACTCGACCTGCTGAGCATTTTTACATATGAAAATACACAATCGGTTTAGTGACCGGATACGACATTTTTCCCATTGTTTATATTGAAGGTTTTGTATATTTTAATTATTCCAATTAATTAAAAAAATGCATATTTTGCAAAAAAAAGCAAAATGTTTTTTGGCGCTTTCGCATTATCGATGGGGGGAGACCAAATTTTCTAGGTAGGGCAAGTGTTTCTAAGCTGATTTTGCAACTATTGAAAGACAATTTACGTATTTCATGCTTGCTATTTTAAATAAATATCGATTTTTTTCGGCGAAAGGCTTTAAAATTTAAAGTTTTTTTGGGAGCTTGCTTGAAACAGTAAAATTTTGTTAAAAATACTGGTTATTAATTTACTAGGACTTTCTGGATCTTTAGGAAACCCCCCCAATAACGCAAAAGAACCAATTGTTTTATTCTGTAGCCCAGCTAGCGTATAATTAGCATAATCGCAGAAATCCTCAAAACCTGAAAAGCATACCAAAATGACCAAGAGCACTGTTGAAGCCAAGCCACGAGATGATTGTTGTTAAGAATTGAAATAGTAAACCCATAATTGCCGAGTGGAGAGTACAAAAACGGCTACTGTAGGCGCTTTTGCAGCTTTTATACCCGGAAATTTATGCCAATCGAATTTCCTGTGTATTTCAGTAAGTAATGAGCTTCTTCATGTAAATTTGTCGAATTCAAAAAAAATGGGAAATGCGTCGAAACACCGCATTTCAGATTTTTTTTGTTCATTTTTTATCGCTGTCAGCCGTTGATTGTATTAGGATATTAAAGAATTTTCTTGTAATGGTCTCCTGAAACATTGCATTTGGCGACAAAATTTTAAGTCTCTGTTCTTTCCCATTAACAGGGGGACCATCTTTTTCCAAATATAAATAGTGGAAGGGATTCTAAGCGGTTTTTTACTATTCTAAACATAAAATTTACAAATTTTTATTCAAAATCTCAAAAATGTAGATTTTTGAGCAAAAATCGCCGTTTTTTACCGTTTTCTTATTAAGCTACTAGATATTTCAGGCTAGTAAAAAAGTATGTTTTGCCGAGGAGCCATGCGCTGTATTCTGCGGTCTGTGTATTCTTCACTTCTTACGTCTTTTTCCAGTCAACAACATGTTTATTCGTTTACAAATCTATCCAAATTTCGTGTTCTCCTCTTCGTCAACAGTCCACTTCCGGAATGCAGGTTCCGTTGTCGTTACGGGCAAATCCACTAATGCACGTGCAGCCCGAGCGGCAATCCGAGGAGCAGCCCTGAAAAAACAGTGGTTTTTAGGTACTTTTGCAGTATCGGAGGGGGTATTTATCGTAATTTTTTTAGCGGTCCAGAGACTTTATGATATTTTTTTGGCTTAACCTACCGCGTCCAGCTCCTGGCCGCATTTCTTGTCGCAGGCGAAGCACTTATTCCACTCCTCATTTTCTTGGCATCCAGGGCCTGAAATCGAAAACTTGCTGCTGGATAAATCCTAACAAATATTTTATGATCCCTGACTTTCCAGGAAACAGTTTTTGTTTTCCCGGCTGGCAGGCTTGCAGAGATTGTTGAGGAAGAGGAGAGGGCAGGCTAGCAGAGATTGTTGAGGAAGAGGAGAGGGCAGGCTAGCAGAAAAAAAAAGAGAGTTTTGAGGAATCGCGTGGCGTCAACAGATTACTTTGTCGGATTTTTACCGGAATACCCTCTATCCAGAAACATACTTTTGTAGCACATTTTGTTCCGAATGCATTTCCCGTGCTCATTCCTTCGATGTTTGTCGGCACATCGGCACCCTGGTTGGCACATGTCGATCGCTGCCTCAGATTTGCAAGTCTATAATCATACAGTACAGCAAGAAGTAGTATGGCAAGTAACCCGCATAATTTCCAAAGCACAAAGCTTCTACAAATACCCACCCCTTCAAAAAAAATTCGGATTTGATCCGTAAAAACAAAATAATCAATCAGCAGAGAAAATAGACTGCATTGCTAATTTCTTGAAATCCATTTTTTTCTCGAGAAAAACCGACTTTCAGCTTTCTAAACAAAAATTCTACCTGCACGCCATGGCAGGTCTCCTCGCAGTTCGGGGCGCACTCCGTGTACACCTCGGTGAAGTCGCAGACTGCAAACGGGATTTTTCTGAGATGCGACTATTGCCAATTACGTAAAATTTGCCGAATTGCTTATGCCTTTTTAACGAAACACACTTCCAATTTTTAACTTGTGACTTCAAAACGCACTATTGGTATAATTGACAGGGACGCACTGCGGCTGCGGTGCGCATGGGGCCATCACGCATGTCACCTAAATATCTCCATTTTTTGGGTAAATAAGTTCAGGGACGTAGCGTAAGGTGGGCCCCTGGAAATCCCCCCCGGAAATCGGCCGGGGCCCAAAAATTTCATAAGGGGGGACCCGTTTGATTTTTATTTACTCAAAAATTTTGCTGCCTGCGGCACTATTTTTACACGTTTTTACTGCTATTTGTAGAGCTATGTAGCCTTTTTTTTCTAAATTTTTCGCCTGCGGCGCTGTTTTCTCGTTAATTTTTTGAGTTGTCGGAACAAATTTTTCGGGCCCCCCGAAACTTTTTTTCTGGCTACGCCCCTGCTTATGTTTCATAAAAATTGCTAGGGAGTCACGGGCCGAGCTTGCCAATAGTCGTCGAATAATAATCCTTCCACGGCTTTCATTTCTGAACCATCTCTGCTAGCCTGCCCTCTCCTCTTCCTCAACAATCTCTGCTAGCCTGCCCTCTCCTCTTCCTCAACAATCTCTGCTAGCCTGCCCTCTCCTCTTCCTCAACAATCTCTGCTAGCCTGCCCTCTCCTCTTCCTCAACAATCTCTGCTAGCCTGCCCTCTCCTCTTCCTCAACAATCTCTGCTAGCCTGCCCTCTCCTCTTCCTCAACAATCTCTGCTAGCCTGCCCTCTCCTCTTCCTCAACAATCTCTGCTAGCCTGCCCTCTCCTCTTCCTCAACAATCTCTGCTAGCCTGCCCTCTCCTCTTCCTCAACAATCTCTGCTAGCCTGCCCTCTCCTCTTCCTCAACAATCTCTGCTAGCCTGCCCTCTCCTCTTCCTCAACAATCTCTGCTAGCCTGCCCTCTCCTCTTCCTCAACAATCTCTGCTAGCCTGCCTTCGCTCTCTCTCTCTCTCACTCTCATTCTCTCTCACCTCAGCCATATGACAAGTGTATCCCGGAGCACAGTCGGTGCTCGCGCACGTGATTTGGGGCTCTAAAAAGAAACGAGAAATGCTTACGTCCTTGAGTTTCACTACCAATTTTCATGAAATATTTATTGGTTTTCCCGAATTGTACAAATATCGTTTTTGGGGGCTTTAGGTGCAAGGAAAGAAAGTACAGAACGCAACGCAAATACGGTAGGAAAAGAAGTACAGTACTACAGTAATGGAATAGAAAGAACAGTAATCACGGTGCTTTTTAGACTGCGGACGTTCAGGGGTGCGTTGTGGAACGACGGTAATCACCCGGTGCGGTACGGGCGGGCGGAAGAGGCGCCTGAAAGGTGCAGTGTGCTTTCCAAGACGTATAACGATTTTTTTAGGCGCTTTGGTATTATCGGGGAGATTTTTCTTAGCATAGATTTTTTTGTATAAAAATAGTGCAAAACGTAAAACTTTACAAATTTTTTCATAAAAATTACAAAAATATCGATTTTTTTTTGGCCGAAATTTGGCCATTTTCGAAGTTTTTGGGGTAGGTCTCTACTTCAATAACAGCTGAACTTTACTAAACTACTTAAATTATGTTAATAGAAATTTCTGGAATTCGCTAAAAAATGCCCCCCGATAATGCAAAAGCACCTATTAGAATCTAGAGGCCCTAATAAAGCAAAAACATAGAACATTTTTGGCTAGTTTCGAAGCTTTTGATTGTATTTCATTTAAAAATAATTAATCCAATGAAAAATATGTGAAATCATGTTAAAATAAGGTTTTTAACAATTAAACAAATATTAGAATTTTTACATAAAATTAACTTGATTAAGATGAGAATGGATAGAAACTTCAAACGAGATTAAATTAATTTTTAGAGGTACGATCTGTCTCGGAAATCCCTGAAACTTTTCGATGCAAAAAATACGCTAAATCTTTTTACATTTGGTCTATTTTTCAAAATGTTTGAAACCTATTTTCTAAAAATAAGTAATTTAATTTTTTAAATTTTTCGAAACTATTTGTTTCAAAATATATGTATTTTACAGTGAAATTTTTACAACATAATTTGCTCTTCACTTCTAACATTGTGCTGGGTAATCGATAAACGAAGCGGAGTACGATACACAAAATCCACATAACGCAATAAATAACCAAAACACATTTATTGCACAAACACAACAAAACCAAAGAAATGATATTTATTTAAGGCTTTTAATTGTTACCAGTATTTTCGACGGCAACGCAGCGGCCGTGGGTTCCTTGGCCAGGGCACGGGGCCATGATACAGGCCACCTAAATCATGGCAAGTGATCAGTTAATGCAGAAACTAATGACAAATCGTTTTAATTTAAAAAAATTTATTTAAAAAATATGTTTCAATTCAAAAATAATAGAAAAAGGCGCGGTTTATACAGAATTGGTTCCAGTTGCGTTACGAATGAATTAATTAAAATTGAGCCCTTTTTGCCGCCGCATTTTGGTATTTATATGTTGAATCGCGTTGAATTAGATGTTAAATTTAAAGTTATTTTTAATTCTTGTTTATAATGAAACATCGTCTAAATCCGGGATAAAAAAATGTGTTTCGCTTGATGGTAGTCGTAAAAACGAGGTCATTCAATCAATTCTTAGCCCTAGCCTCTCTGATCCGTAAAAACCAGTTTTTTGGCGGCATTTTATTCTCAGAATTAGGGCCATTTAATTTAGCTATGTCCACATTTAACAACGCAGTTTCTAACGAACGCAAAAGACGATAAATCGAGGAAAAGGAAAAATGTTTCGTCAAATATTTAGCAAAAAATCGCCGTGATTCCATCTAATAGCTTTGACATCAGGAATCGGTACGTTCTTTGAACTATTTCTGGTAGTTTTGATTTTTATTCACGAAATTTTTTAAGATAAACTTACCGTCTCCTCAATGCATTTGAAGCCGGCACGGCACCTCATGGTGGCGCATGGGCCGACTAGAAATATCGTTACTCTAACAGATTTATTGATGGGTATCTTAATTTGGCAAAAATCAGGATGTCGAAAACCCTTTTGTCGAGATTTTGTTCTGCCCAAATTTATTATTAGCAAAATTTCAAACCACCAAATTTAATTTTGAGATACAACAATATTGATAAAATGAATTTTCGCCCGAATGAATCTTCGACAAATTTAAATCTCGACACCGAGAGATTTCCACAAAATGAATTTTGAGCAGCCTGAAATTGCGCCCAAATGAACTTTCAACAAAATGAAATGTCGATAAAATGATATTTCGACAAAGTAAAATTTCGACAGACTTCCACCGAAAACATTCGAAAAATGCTGTTTCGAAAAAATTAAAATAAACCAAAGCACTTACGTGGTGGCTGCTCGCTCTGGCATTGCGGTCCGGTGGGAGTGTCAACGCACGGGCCTGCGCATCGAACGTTAGCACATGTAATTCCGGAGGGCGGGGCTAAAGGGGTTTGAACAATATCTGCACGGTTTTTAAAGGGCTAGTTCAGCCAATAAAACAAAAGAATTTCCGCGGCCAGGAGCCGAACCCCCTCTGCGTTTTTGTCTCTGCGCCTCTCTCACTTCCCCGATCTCTATTAGCTGTAGTAATGGGGGACTGTTCGGGCGCACTGTGCCTACGTGCATGGTTTCCCAAGGTACCAGCCCAAGCTCTAAAAGTTGAACTAGCCCTTTAATGTAGCGTCTACAATAGCCTATTTTAAACAATTTGTTAAAAATTCAGTTTCGCATGGCTGCCGACAGAGGAATAATTTCCTTTTCATTGATTCAAACTTCTAATTTTCGCGAAACATTCCGTTCTAAAGGGGCGGGCAAGGCTTGATTACAGATTTTGCTTTTTCTAGGGCTTTTTCCGCGCCGCAACAAGCAACGCGCACACCGGTTAACTGTACAAAAGCATCGTAATCGTTTACGCAATGGAATGGAGGGCAGCCGCATTGCGTGCGTGCCAGTTTGGCCCGTTAAAAACGGTTGTTTCTTTTCATGTGGATTAGGAGCACAGAACGTATGCTGTTAATTCTACGCAGTTTATTTGTGGTTAATTCAACTTTTGAAGAGTTATCCGTTCATTTTTTGTTTTTTTTTGCCCGTTTCTAGTTATCGTATTTAGGGTAAAAACGTACCATCCGTCGCCTCAGCTACATCCGAAACGCATTGCGGTACCGGGTAGCAGGGCGGGGCGAAGCATTGAACCTGGAATTTCCGTTAAAAATGACTGTTTCAAATAATTCTGGAATCTCAGAAAATTTTAGGATGCAGTTGCACACTCTATAATCGGTTCGATCACCATAAATCGGTGGGTTAGTTAGTTTTTAGTTCGGTGGTTGTTTTTACTATTTCCTACGATAGGCGTAATAGAAATTATTTTAATAGTGTTTTTACCATAATTTTCTTACCCTTCACCTAAAAAATATCTAATACAAAATCGGGAATCTCGAAAATTTGCTCGAAAAATCGGTATTTTGAATTCTTGTCATTATTTTATAAAAATAGGTTTTCATTTTTGTCATTTTTTATAGGTTTTTGCGTTTAAGAATCGTAAAAATCACTCTAAAAGCAAGTGCTCTATTTATATTTAAAAAATTAGTTTAAAGGAAAAACGAACCCTCCCCCGATAACGCCCAAGAACCGATCGAGGTAACCGTAAAATTAGTTTACAAAATCCCACCTGGATCATGGCGCAGTGATGGCCGGCGGTGCACTTGACATTTTTGCAGGAGGAAACTGGAAAAAACGTGTTTTATAACACTTATAAAACAAGTTATTGCCGAAAACATTACAAAAACCAATATTTCGAAAAGTCAATCTAAATTGCGAAATCTCGACATCTTTAATTTGGGTTTCCCGAGTCGCCGTTTTCGCCGAATAAACAAGATCAAGTCCTTGAAGACCAACGTTATTTTGAAACTCACTATTTTGCGGGATGCACGTCGGGGTCTGCAGACATTTCTGGCCGGCCGGGCAGATTTGCTAAAACCCACAATTAAAAATGATTTTTTTGAGGATTTCGGGCCAAATCAGGGCAAAACTGATTTTTGGTATTCCCAGGGCATACGGTATTGTTCAAAGAAAGTCGAGGCGAAAATTAAATCAACCCAGCTCAAAAACAACTATATCTTTGGCTGAAACACACCACGAAAAACTCGTTTTTGTCGCTGGTGATTTCTTAGAATGCGTATTTTTATATTTTCATTTAAATGTTTTTCCTTAGTGATTTTTAGATTTTCTGGAAGAGAAGAGAGAGCATTAATGGAATTTGGCTCGAAAATATAGATTTTTTCGCTGAAACATATCACCAAAAATGCCAACTTTTGGCTCTGGTGGGTTCTTAGAAACGGAATGTAATATTTTTCTTCAAACGTTTTGTTTTCAAGTGATATCGAGATTTTCTGGAAGGTACATTAGCGATACCAGGGCCAACAACCCGCAAGACGGTCGCGCATTAATGAAATTTGGCGCCAAACGTATATTTTTTTCGATGAAACATGTCACCAAAATTGTTAAGTTTTGACCCTGGGGAGTTCATAGAAAGCGTAATTTAATATTTTTCCTCGAACCCTTTTTTAGTTTACTCAGCGCCAGTTAAACTCAGCACCAGCACCCCAAAAAATTATCTTTTTCGATATATGTACTCTCAAATTGAGCCCAGTTGACCGCAATCGATTACAAGAAAACCGGACGCGGCACTCTGATTTTTCGATGAAACATACCGTCAAAATTGTCAGATTTTCCTACTAACCTGGGCCATGACGCACTCCATTCCGGACCGGCAATCCACGAGTTCACAGCTGGTCTGTGGGACGTCCGATTCTAAAAAATGCTAATTTAATGCGAATCCGATCGATTTGGTACCATGACCACCACCGTTGCTTAAAGAAGCCATTATTACTTCAGTTACAGGTTAGTTTGGTTCTATGGCATTGCCGGGGGGGGGGGGCTGATTTTTAATTTTTCTTAGCATGCAGAATTGCCCAGTCACGTAATAGTAAGCGTCTTAATAATGTTTTTTTGTAAAACTAACTAGCTTTCAATGGAAAATTATCCAAAAAAATGTCGCAAAATTTAAATTTTGGTCGAAAAATCTATATTTTATGTAGTTTTTTCACTAAAATTTTCAAAGTTTTTGCGTTTAGAATAGTAAAAAACGGTGTAAAAATATTTTCTGTATATAAATCACAATAGAAAAATCGGTTCCTTAGAAAAAATTGGACCCCCCCCCCGGTAACGGGAAGGAACCTATTAAAATTTAATATTATTATTTTCAAATATACAATTAGCTAATTATTAAAAGGATTTATTAATTATATTACATATCAATATTATAATAAATTGTTATATTAGTAAAGCTGGCTGTTAATATTATCTCACTATTCTCTACTAGCAATACCCCTTTTTCCAGGAACACATTGCGGTCCATAGCTTGTATTCTTGCATTTATACCCCTTGCGACAAGGTGCACGGCATTTTGAAACTAAATAAATTTAATCACTATTAAAGGGATTGTCACGCTCTAAAATAGCCAAAATTGACCTTCATCTTTTTTTTTGCGTACCCAGATTTAAAAACCGCTGGGACTACAAAAAAATTGCAAAACTTTGGCAACACGGTGCCATCACTTGCATTGAAACATAATTTCAAAACCCGTAAAATGCTGCAATAAACATTAAACCATTTGCAATCCACACGGAATAGGCGATTTCTCAATAAATTTATACAAATTCATATTCTTATTTATTTTTATTTTTACTTTTATTTTTCGATAATCTATTGATCAAAAAAGTCAGCAGGAACCTAAATTATGCTAGCATGAAATTAATGCACTAGTGGTTACCGTAAAACATTTTTTTTAGAGAAAATATTTGCAAACATGGTTGGTGTGCAACTATACAAAACTCCATTAACATTTAAAATAGTTATAGCAACTAACCTGGCCCCCTTAGTTTCGTAATAATTTTTGTCAAGTTTTATTATAAAAAAAAATTACAGCGACTCAAAATCGATATGTCGGCCATGACGTTGAAACATTTTATTGTATCCTATTTTTAACCGTTTGGAAAACCCCAGAAATCAACAGAATTCGGCAATATAAAAAGAGCTTTTTAATTTCAAGTGCTTATTGCATTATTACACTTTTGATGTAAATCGGAGAAAATGCAGTGATTATCAAGCCGCAATTTTTTTAAAAGACCGATTAGCTGCTTGAAACACCCTTTTTAAAAGGAGCGTACCGGAGCATTGGTCCTTGGTGACGCATTCATTAGTATTCGGGTCGCGGAAGAAGCCGGATTGGCATCGGCATGCCCCTTCAAGACGGCAAATCATCGGGCAGGCCTAGAAAATTAGACTTAAGCTTTAGCTTGGCTTAGGCTTGGCTTAGGCTCGGCTTAGGCTCGGCTTAGGCTTCTGCTTGGCTAGACTTGGGCTGAAGCTTAGACCTCAGTTGATTTGAGACTTAGACTTAGGCTTAGCTTAGGTTAGGTTTAGGCTTGGCTTAGGCTTGGCTTAGGCTTGGCTTAGACGTGGCTTAGTCCGAGGCTTCGATTTCGGACTTTTTTCATTTTTTTTTTTTAAATATGTTTCATGTTTTTGGGATAGCTCGCCATTTGCCGCATATTGCATTGCTTCGGCAACAAATACTTCAAAACCTACAACAGGCCCAGTTTGTCCACACTTATCCTCGCATCCACCACAGCCGTTGAAGAACTCGTTTTTGCCGCATTGCTGGTTGGCTGAACCTAGTCGAATTAATTGATCCCGTATGAAAGGGAGGGTGAGAGAGAGCGAGAACGAGAAAGTGAGAGAGTGAGAGAGAGCGAGTCAAGAAAAAATTAAAAAACAATTTAATTCACCCCTAAAAAAAAGTCGTCGTCGTCGTTTTTCGTTAAGTCGTTTTTTGTCTGATCGTTAGTTAGCTTTTCCCAAGAATAACCGTAATTTGGAGTAATACAATAAGATTTCAGAATTTTTGATAGCGATTGATTTATTCTGAATTTTCCCCACTTACCGGGAGTAGCAGAAGTGGCCGAAGTATCGTTGGGTGCTACGCATTGCGGTCCGCTGGGCGTTTCGACGCATCTCGGCGAGTCAGGGTGGCAGAGAACAGTGGCGCAGCTGAGAGTCGGGGCTGAGGAAGCGCCTGAAAAAGCGGAAATACCTTAAGGAGTCCTTTAGAGGCTCATAAAAAAATTTCACTGCCATTTTTCAAAAAAAAAAATCATGTTTCAAATAACCATAACAAAACGCATAAAATCATATGGACATTACTGAGATAATAAAAGCGTTACTTTTGTCCATCAAATATACAATAATCGTAATTTTAATACATTTTAAAGAAAACTTTGATAAATTTACCCAGCGTCAGTGACAAAAAAAATGTTTTGGCTTCGAAAATGCTAAATCTCGGCGGGCTAAAATCGGTCACAATCAGATTTTATTAAATCTTCTAAATACCTCAATATATATATATATATATATCTTTTTATTTATAGTAGTTATATATATTTATGAATATCATAGTATTGAAAACTCGAATAAAAGCTCACCCTGCAAGTCGCACTGTTCCGCCGTGATACAAAAGCCGTCATTTCCGCGGAAGAACCCTTGGCTGCAACGGCACATGCCCGGCTGAACGCACATCTTGTTGCACTGGAAATTGATAAATATATCCTATCCTATATTTTAATATAATTCATATATAATTTTAAATATATATTAATTAATTAATTAATATATTAGATTTTGACATTGTGAATTTCCGCATTAACAAATTCATTAAAACACTAGCAATACTCATAAAATAAATACATACGCCAAAAGAAGTACAAGGACTGAAGAAACTGAAAATAAAAATTGAGGTTGTTTGGGAAAGTTGATGTTTCAAAATTTTTGAAAGAAGAAAAATTCTCAAACCAGGAAGTAGGATCAATGGGGTGGGGGTGAAGTAGGATCAATTTTTCAGGAATGGGAAATTTTACTTCTGCCTGCAAATTTTTTTCGGGATTTTAGCTCCATTAATTAGTTAGTTTCAAAAAAAGCGGCGACAGAAGTAAATTGGAGAAACCAAAAGCTATTGGACTTGATCCAAAGTTGAAACATACAATTGGCTGCCGATTCTCGCAGGTGGCCTCACAGCCGGTGCACGTGTTGAAGAACTCGTTGCGGCCACAGTTGCCTGCAAGCGGCATGGTGGTACTTTTGCATTATCGGGGGGATAGGCCACTTTTTCGTAGAGTCCAGAAATGGTTGCTAACATAATAATAATCAAGTTTAATTCTTCGATTTTTACCTTCTATTCCCGTTTTGAATAAACCTTAAATATATTTTAGGGATAAACTCCCTAAAATTTTTTAATAATTGATATTTTCATAATTCGAAATTCTTCTCGAAAATCGGTCAATTTGGTTCGAAAAAGCTATATTATTTATTTTTTTGATGAAAATTTTGTAGAAACCCTTCCCTTTGACTAGATAAATTGGATAGAAAAGCAAAAGGTTGGCTTTTCCCATTGCTACCCTACCCGCCCCCCGATAAGGGAAAAGAGCCGGGCTACTGTAAAATTCTTCTTAAACGCACGCCATTTTGGATATGGCCTATTTTTCTTGTGCGGTTTGTTTTTAAATCTTATTTTTCCATTATTATGTAATCTTATTATAGACAATTCCCAGCAAGTTGCCTATAATTTTAATGAAACATACGGTCGGTTGGCTGTTGCACGCATCGCCCCGTCCCATCAGCCCCAACCACACAGCTTTGGCCAACCATGCACGAGACGGCCGCGCAGCCCGTGGCTCCTGGAAAGCGAAAAATATTACATTATACTTTTTTATTTATAAAAATCCAAGCAAGTTTTTAAAAATTAGGTTTTTGATTATGAAGCACATGTTTCACCAAAATACCACCACCATGAAAATTTCACAGGTTTATTTGAGCCGCCTAACAACGATCAAAGCTACATAATATGAGCTTTTTTGGCAGGGGTATACGTCCCATTTCCATAGCGTAATTAATTACCTATGTTACACACTCCGGAAAGCGGCCATAAAAAGTTCGCAAATTTTAGGCTTGTCCTCAAAGATTTATCAAAATCACAATAAAGCAAAATTTAATTGTTTAAATTTTTTTATAGCAGCTATCAAAAACTCTAAAAACATTATTTTTTCCCGCAAGAAATCGGCGGAAAAATAAAAATTACTACCCCCCCGCTAACGATCCAGTACCAAAATCCATGGCCAACGAAAACTAGAGTTCAACCTTGCCGTTCCCTCTAATGAAGGCTATAATTTTTTCCACATTGATTTAGAAAAAAATATGTTATATGTTATATAATATGTTAGAAAAACAAGGTATAATTTGGTTGTACTTTGTATTTTTTCTAGATTTTCTAATTAACAGTGGCTATCTACAATTTCTTGCTATTTGCCAACCATTTTCCGGGACACACGTCGGCACCGGGTTGCACGGGGCACGCTTGTATATCACCTAATTTGCGAAAAATTGTCGATTTTTGTCGGGTTCTAAACCTGTTGCAGGACGCACCGCTGCCCGGCTCGGCATCTTGCCAGGCATTTTGGGGTGTCTGTAACGTTATAAAATACGAGAAGTTAGCGTTTCGAATGAAGGTAAGCGAATAATTCTAAAGGAAAACTAGGGCTTAAAAAGTGTGTTTCACAAACTCCTAAAAATTGAGGTTCACGATGAAATGTATTGAGCGACTGTGAGCGATGATTTTTTTTGGGTAAATGACTTGGCGCGATGCGGCTGCCTAGCGCTTGCCCCGATAGCGATTCCGGCGACACGTACCGCGACCGCAACGGGTTCATTCTCTGATTAGCTCAAATAGCACGCAGCGCGACCGCAACGCGTCCAAGATGCTTCCGCAAAGCGCCCTCAACGCGACCGCAACGCGTTCACGCGACGGAGCACCGCACCCGTAATCGGACCCCAGCGCGACCGCAGTGGGCGGGAAACAGGGTCGTAACACAACCGCACTGCTTTCACAGTGGTTTTCAAGGAAGAACCGGTTTAAAAGCAAGTTTTACGCCCCAGAAGCCAGCTGTCATGCCATCTTTAAAGCATCCAACTCACTAACCGTCGTCCGGCACGCAGGTTGGCACTGGGTTGCATGGAGCTCGAACGCATTGGACCTGAAAATTATGGAGTTTTTCGGGTTTTCGATTTCCAGCAAGGTTTTGCATGAAACATGTTTTTTGTGATCGTTAAATTTGGTTTGGTTTATAATTCCTACTCAGATTAACTTGTACAAATTTGCGATAGAACATTGTTAAAATATATCCTGAGATTCGAAGACGATTTCTATAATTTTTCGAAGAACAACCTTCCTTTTTAAAACAATTTTAATTGCAGAAAATCAATCGCAATACCGTACTATTTAATAAAAATTTCTTATAAAGATACGCTAATGTAACATGAAAAGGGCACAACACGCTCTAGAGCACCAACCTCTTGCAGGACGCATTTCTGGCCGGCGCTGCATTTTGCCAAGCACTTGGTGGTCGCTGAAAAATAAAAATTGGCTTTTTTAATTAATTAATTTAGGTTAATTTAGGGAACGGAGAACATTCTCGGATTCTAAGCACGAGACGCGGTTGCGTCATGAAATTCGGTGAAACATGCAGAACAAAACAAAAATCGACTACTGCCGTAACACCTTACGCGTTTTTAGCGCACTTCTTAAGCGTGACGAAATAAAAGAATGTTTCGTGCATCGCATAATCATTTTTGGCCTTGGCTCGGATAAGAGGTTTCAGTGAGGTTTGGCAGCTCAAAAAGGTTTTTTCACTTAATTTTTAAAAAATGTGTATCACCCATTTCTAATATCATGATTTGGATTTTGAAGCGGATCATGGATGCATCTGTACATGTTAACGAAAGGCTACGGCATTAAGGCAAACCCGCCAAAAAAATCGGTTTTTTAATTAAAACATAGTTTTTAATTAAAAAAAGGGATGAAAAACACCTTAGAATCATTTTCCCTGTTTGTATTCGTAAAAATTGTCTCCTTAGAAAAAAGTTGCTCGCCCCACCCGATAATGCAAAAGCTCCTAAAAATGCTTGCATTCTTTTGCTGGCCTTTTCGCCCTTTAAAAACATGTTTTTCAGGAAATTACAGCATTAATTCGTCGATGATAGATCCAATACCCGTTTGTTGCCTAACTCCGGAACATTTAACTCCAAGACGAATATAAATTTCTAATAATTTTTATAGTGCGTCGAAACTACCGTACCATTGGCCGGGCAGCTAGCCTGGGCCACGCAGCTCCCATCGACGCTACGGAAGAATCCGGCCTTACAGCGGCAGGCTGGTGGCAAGCAAATGGCCGGGCACATCTGGAAAACAAAGATTTTTCGGATTTACGCTTTAACCTAAAAATTTTGTACAATGCAATTTTTCCGAGGAAACCGATAGAGTCTAATCCTGGACAATCAGAACAAAAAGCCTTTTAAAAATGAAGGACTAGCTTAAATTCGAATAGCGGTACAATAATTATACTAATTTCCTATACTAACTAATTAATTCGTCAACAAATACATCATTTTTGAAATGAAATTAATTTTTGAGCGATTATCCTACTATATATAAAAAAATAGTGTTTGTGTGTGTGTGTGTGCATTTGCATGCAACTTCCGTCCGTATGTTCCAGTCGTATCTCAATAAAGGAAGAAGTTAAGGGCATGTATGATACGTCATCAGGTGCGTAATGGTCATGACACGACTGCACACCTATCAGATTTTGCAAAATCAGCTGTTTTCGACATTAAAAATAGGTTTTTGTCAAAATCTCGCTCGGGCTCTTTGTTAGGAATCAATTTGCATGCGCCGGAAATGGGGATAGCCTACAAAACGGGGGAGAGAACGGGCTTTTCATTTTTTGCACAGGAATTCAGGAGTTTATGCAAAGTGCTCAAGCATGGGGGCATGACGGGGCCAGGGTTGAAAAGTCGCGAAAAGCGGCTTTTCAACCCTGGTTTTTGTTAATTTTCTTATTATTATTGTTTCATTATTTTGTATAACGATAAATCAATATTAATAACGAAAAATAGGATTTAGCACAATATAGCAAGAACGTGGAAAGCCAAAACTTACACAAGGCCTTTTTTGAATGAGTTACGTTTGGTCTGGACAGAATTTAGCCGGAATTGTGGCTTTAAATTTGGTGGCCGATCACCTGTTCGAAAATCATCTGTTCGAAAATCATCTGTTCGAAAATCATCCGTTCGAAAATCACCTGTTCGAAAATCACCTGTTCGAAAAACATATGTTCGAAAAATCATCTGTTCGAAAAGTCATCGGTTCGAAAATCATCGTTTCGAAAAATCACCTATTCGAAAAAGGTCTCAAATGGGGAAAAATTTTTCCTTTTAACTTTTCCCACTGCTGAACGTGGACTTCTGAACATCCCCTACTTCTGAACATAGACTTCTGAACATGAGAGTTCATTTCATTATATCCCGCAGAGAGAGAGAGAGCAGAGATGAGAGAGAGAACAAGGGAAGAGAAATGATTATATCCCGGAAAAGTCGAATCTGAAAATAAATATACTTAGTTAAACAGAAATTGGATGAGTATGCACATTTAGCACGGTGAAAAATCTTCTCAAAAAAAAAAGTGAATTTTGGAAAAGCTGTTGCTTCGAAAACGGTGATTTTTCGAACAGATGATTTTCGAACAGGTGATTTTCGAACAGATGACTTTTCGAACAGATGAATTTTCGAAGAGATGTCTTTTCGAACAGATGATTTTCGAACAGGTGATTTTTCGAACGGATGATTTTCGAACAAGTGATTTTCGAACAGATGATTTTCGAACAGGTGATAGGGAATCTTAAATTTTCATCTCTGGCGATGTTACTTAGAAACATTGATTTCTGTATCGATTTCTTTTCAAAATTGTATTAATTTTTTATTAAAGTTTTATGATTTTAAGGCTTTCCTTATGATTAAGATAACTAAAACCATCGACAATTGAAAATTTCGGTACAAAACAGCATTTTTAGTTTAATAATTATAAGTTTTGTATTTTAAAAAAAATTGTCCATTTTTCATGTTTAGGAAGAGTAATAAAACATTTGCTCTATTTTATTTAAACAGTAGGCATTTAGTTATCACCCGTGAGAACCTGAAATTGCCGAAAATCCCCTTTTCATTCGAGGTCCATTTCGCACACCATTGCGCTAATTTCAAAGCCTTACAATGCCAATTTTTTTGAAACACTGGATTTGCAACAAAAATGCCTTTGAGATATGCAACCTCGAATCCTTTTTCTTGTTAGATTATGCAGTTAGATAAATCTGTTGCCTATATATAACTTGTAACGTTAAAATCGGATCAAAATCCAGCTTTGTTTCTCCTACCATGGGTTCGGTTTGGCCGCATTGTGGCTCACAAGCGGCTCCGCATTGGTCGACCTGCTCGTTCTTGCCGCAAGTCAACCCTGAAATCGAGCAATTTTATTAAATTTTATTATTTTAATAGATTTTAAATAAATTTGAAAAAAATATTAAAGATAACAATCGTCATCAAAAATGAAGTAACGAAACAAAAAACGAACGAATAACAATCTGAGAAAAAACTCAAGTGAGGTCAAAATTTTGCAAAACACGTTTTTTCTCACCAGAAAACACGTTGTTTTCCACTAATAAAATTTAATTCTAGCTTTTTAAATTTTTCATTTAAAGGGATGCCGACGGCATAGTCAATCGATTACGCGCGGTAAAGAAAATGTCTCTGCGCCTCTCCCCAGGGCGCGCTCTCTGCCCTGCTGGCTACTTGCCAATTTGTTGATGGGGGGGATCGACACATGCCGTCGGCAGCCCTTTAAGGATCAAGGCCGAATACTTAATTTAGCAGGTTTGGTTTTTCATAATTATTAGAACAATGATTTGTGACTATGAATTGTTGCACTAGTCCAAAAAACTCTACAATAAAACTCAAATTTTTCACACAATGGCAAACTTTCTTAAAACACGCAAATTTCACGCAAAAAAGAAAAGGCCTTGCACCCTAAAAGATATGAAATTCAGGCCGTTGGCTACCGTAACCCGGGATCTCGAGGCAAATTTGAGTGGTTGGGCAGGGTTCTTCGTCGCAAGGCAAATCGACCTTTTCGCATTGCGTCCCCTCGGGGCATTCACCTTTTAATAAGCACTTTTAAAGATAGAAGGAATCCGATGCAATTTAAAAAAAAGGTTCTCACGTTGCGGTAAGTCTATGCTAATTTAATTTAGTTTAATGAATCTAGTTTAGAGAAATGGAAAATTTAAATACAGCTTTTGCTAAACATATGTTACATCACTTTGAAAGTATGAACAACTCAAATAAATACCAATTCTCGTCATTTTGCGATGTAACGAAATTTGCACCGCAAAATGGGATATGTTGGAAACCCATTTGAAAAGCATTTTTTGGGTTTCCATGATGAAATTGTCGTTTTGTGAAATAAAAAGGCTTCACTATTTTTTGGGAAGACGATTGCATCATTCTTTTTATTCACGCGCACTTCGAATATCCGACTTTAGAATTTAGCGAAACTTATTTTTTTTCAACGAAACCGACCGGAGCCCGACATTTTTTTTGTAAAAGTCTAGTAACTTAATACAAAGTGTTTCAATACAGTTTTCAATAAAATAACTATATTTTATCTAACAACTTTTAAAACCTAAAAATTTTCATCAAATATCGGCAAATTTGGTCGAAAAACCATTTAGACTTTTATAGTAAAATTTTGTAGCCTTTTCACGTTTCGGAATAATAAAGAAACAACTTAGAAACAATGCCTGTATTTTGTTTTGAAAAATTAAATCCTAAGAAGAAAAAGTTGGTGTCCCCCCGTCAACCCACCTCCGGCAGGGCAATCGGCGGCCAGCAGACAGGCACCGTCAGTGTTCCGCTTGAAGCCGGCGTTGCATTGGCATTTCGCAGGACCACAAATCTCGATGCAAGACTAGGATCGAATTTGTATAATTAATAAAAATAACGATAATTTTCTCTGGGAAAATTTTATACAGCTGCCAAAAATTGAGAAAAATCATTGTTTCAATATTTTTGGGAGGCGATTTTCAAGGAAGCAGGGCTAATTTGTGCTTCTGGTCGCCATGGACAACCAAAAAGAAATCAGAATTTTTCTAACTTACATTTTTTTTGTTAATTTTTAAAGCAGTTTTTACCGAGTGAATAAAACCCCCTCGGCCAAAAAATTTTTGTGGAAAAATATAAAATCATTGTTTCAGCCTGTTTGGATGTGGGTTTCAAGGAATAAACGTTAATGTAGGCGCGATGTGTAACGGAAGCACATAACCAAACCGGCCATCGGAATATTATAATTGCAGGAATTTAAATTTTTGTTAATTTTTGAAACATATTTTTTCCTGGAAAGCTGTAGCCGTCAACTCACGATCATGATCTCGGCCCCGCACTTTGGCTCGCACATCGTGCTGCACTCGGTGAACGTCGAATTGGCCGGGCATTTCCCGGATGGCGCCACTAGAAATAAATCAGCATTTTTCATTTTGCGAACCCAATATCGGTCTGAGTTGATAGCGAGTTGATATCGAAATTTTATTTTCCTACCTATGCCTAAATATTAAAAACACAAGTGTATTTTTATAGGGTTTTAAAACGTTTCTTATTGCCAGAAAACTACAAAAAATATCGAAGAATTTTCGAAAATTTGAAAATGGGAACATTTTTGGTTTCTTCGTTGACTGCGTTTCCTCAAATTTTTTCATTGACTCAAAAAATCATGTTTCGGAAAAATTACTGTATTCGTTCGCGACCGGTCGATTGATCGACAATTTCACTTCTGAAGTTTCCCCCCCCCCAGCCGAATTGGTTTGGCTATACCTTTTTTTACATCATTGTAGGTTCGAATTAAAAATCTTACTATATTTTTCGACGCTCTCTCGAGTGGCATTGCAAAAATCCCGACAAAAATAGCAAAAATCCCGAAAACTTTCAGACTTTTCGGCTGTCTTACCAAAAAATTATGTTCCCGACCAAATTAATCTAATGAGACTCTGCCAATTACTTGATGTTAATTAAAATTACATATAGCTTATTGTTGTTATCCTTGTAGCAAATTAATTATGGCTATGGCTCTCGGCAAGAATTATCAAAAAATTTTGCAAAATGATGTTTCCACTAATGTAGTGGAGCTGACAGCGGTTTCAGACTCAATTCATCAACGCTTTGTTTCGTTTGTGCATATATCATAATTATTTTTCCTCAAAATAATTCTAGCCCACATGCCATCAGCCCCAAAAATACACGTTCCGCAATGCACCCAATTACGGTAGGGGAAAAAACGCGCGGAGCACGCGGTTCGTACCCGTTAATCTCCCGGCCCCCCCACAGCTAATTTTGGCCAAAAACCGGTGCTTTGCAGATCGCCGCGGGACCAACGAAACCAAAATACGAAAAATACGAAGGATAGAGAAAGGGCAGGAAGTAGCGGATTACGGTAGCCATCAAAATTTTAAAATCGTAAATTGGTCAGAGTAAATGAAGTGGCAAAAACCAATCTTTCCTAGGCAATCTTTGAAACACTTTTTTTAATTTTTGATGTTTCATTTAATTCTTTTAAGCATTAATCAAACTTATTTTGTACTTCTACGTAAGACGCGTGAATTACTCTTTTGGAGAAGATTTAGTAGTTTAGTTTTTTTTAATAGTTTTTGGAGAATTTTTGAATATCGAGTTTCCCAAAAGCATTGCGGAGCAAAACAAGAGCTTTCCTAGAGAAATGTGAAATTTTTTGAGATTTTTTGAATTTTTAGTTTATTGCGTACTAATTATTATGGTAATACCTACTTTTTAATACATTTTGGAGTTTGGATTTATTTTCCATTTCCGACGGTTTACGTTAAATTATCAAGAAAAATGACAATGACAGATAACCCCTGCAAGTAATTAGGACGAGAAAAACAGGTGTTTCCTAAGAAAAAGACGAATTTTTTTTCTAAAAATATTATTTTAATAAAGTGAATTAGGCGCGGTACTTTTTAATACCTTCTAAATTATTTTTAACGGGTTGCGGTACTCTATTAATAAAAAAAAATAGCTAAATTGGAAAGTTCAATCGAATTGTTTTAGAGAAAAACAAGCTTTTCCTTTTAAAAAGTGAAACATTTTTTCAAAAACTCGTTTTTATTAACCATTTTTATGCCATAATTTTGGAATCTTTGTTCCTAGTAAAAAATCGTTTAAAAATGTTGCATTTCCCGTTTTTCGTTATCAAGATTTTTAAAACACTTTGTTTCCCAGTGTTTTCCCTTTTTTCGCCTTCTTGATAAAACGGCATCAAAAATTGGGCCCCCGATTTTGTTCCCAGAAAATCCGGGCCGACGGCTAAAAAGCACGGCTTTCCCAGCAACGCCCAATTATCACGGCTGGGAAAGTGATTTTTAGAGAAGTGTGACCGCAAATTGGATTGTTACGTAGGCTACGGCGGGAAGTAAAAGTTCAAAGCGGGGATACGGTAGCCAGAGATCACTTCGGGGCTCGATTAAAGGGAGCGTGACAGCTGCGGAAAGGCCTCATAATCAAATACATAAAAATAAAAGAAAAGGTACTAAAGAGCATCATATGCCGTAACTTACTAGGTGGAAAAAGTCGCTTTAGTGATACCGAACCGTAACATTGCACTAACCTGGAGCAGAGGCGCTTGGCGGTACCGTAGCCGCGCCATGGATGGCCGCCACGAAGAAGCAAAGCTGAAAAAGTATGTTTCACGTTTTTGAAGGTATCATAATGGTTGAACGATATTACTTACAGTTAATGTCATAGTGGTTATCGTAAAAATAAAGGTTTCAGAGCTTTTGGAAATCTACGCTTCCAGGCTACCGATATTATACGTAGGCTATGGTTGGCTTTACCCCCAGCTGGAATGTGTTGGCTATAAGCTTTTATTTTACATTATTGTAGGCGCAAATTAAAACTCTTAGTATATTTTTCGACGCTCTATCGAATGGCGTTGCAAAAATCCCGACAAAATAAGCGAAAATACCGAAAACTTTGAGACCCTTCGGCTATGGCGGGAGGGGGGGTGGGTAAAGTAAACTCTTATCTAGATGTAGATCTCCTTAATCGCCGTTATTTATTCTAGGATTAATGATGTTATTTTTACCGTATTTTCGCTATGTTCGTTTTTAATAAAGCTGTTGTACCACCCATTTTTATAATAACGTATTATTGAAATAATGCGTTTCATAACAAATTAAATATTGCCCTGAATTTCTATGGGAATTGCGAGCGCTAGGTTGATTCAAATAGATCCTTTCAGACGCTGTAGGCCACTTAAAAGTATTCTTTCAATTCTCTGGGTTCTTTGGCATTAGCGGGGGGGATAGCCCTTCCTAGTAAAAACAGGTAACCGCATAAAATTTTGCAAGCTTCATTTTGTGAGAAATAAAATGTTTCGCAAAAATGGGTATTTCAGCGTAGAGTAGATCCGTTAATTCGCAGCTAGTGGTTCGTTTCGAAATCTCGCTTTTTCATAAGATCGCAATTTCAGACTATCGCTTTTTAAAATATCGCATTTAATTTCGAATTACAGTTTGCAATTTAGTAACAACACTTTAGATACGCTTAATTCATTTATTTTTGAAAAATTATGCCCCCTCCCGATAATGCGCAAGCACCAATTATGTCGAAAAATGAAACTTACAAAAATCTGCGGTATCATGGTCCCAGGAAAGTTGCGATGAGCTGCTCCGAGTCGTCAGGCGCCCTATAAATACGGTCGTATTCTGCATAATTTCCATAATTCACGCGTAAATAACGGTGCGTAGTGGGAAAACACAACCAAAAAGTTGTCGCGAAACCACGGGAAAATACGCTGCTGGGGGAGCAAATGTACATAAAATGGATGGACTGGCTGGCGACCCGGTGGCGGGGATCAAAAAGGGGCGTGGCCTCGTCAAAATCCCGCCAAAAAATGAGATTTTGAAGGCCAGAAGTTGTCGTTTTAATTTTTTATATTTCTGGGCATTAAAAACATGCAAAATTTGCTTAAAATTTAGAAATTGGCACAAGAAAATATTTTTCTAAACTGAAGAAATTTCGAATGTATCAAAACAATTTAAAAGTTGCTTCTAGTAAATAATAAACTTTATTTTCAAAAAGATTAAATTGCCCTAAATGTCTAAATAAATCTTGACTACTAAATAAAACCAGTGAGTTGATAATAGGTTAAAGCTATGAATTGTAAATTTAAAAACAATTGAATTTGAAGAATTTAGATTTAACCAATTTTTTGAAACGGAGATTTCAGTAGCAGATCAAATGGTTGAATTATATTAAGATAGGCTTTGCACTGTGAATGTTCCGAAAGCAAATAAAGCAAAACTTTCATGTAACATTTTATTTGAACCCGGAAAAAATTACGGATCGATAAACTACAAGCACCATGAATTAACAATGCTCATTCTACCGGTAATTGTCCCTTTAAAACAACACTTTTCGAAAATTTTGACAAGTATGATTTTCCGGTTAGGCTGCACTCAACGCGAAAAAAATGTTACAAATTTGTAGGAGCTGTGCCTGGTTAGTTTTAGCGCATTCCCGGATGGAGCAATGACTTTAATTGAATAAATCCAAAAGCAGCGGTGAGGCCAGAATTCAGCGTTTTAAAGGGAAAATGACATTACTAGCTGAACGCGCGCGTAAAATCAACGGGTCGATCGAACAAGGATCTAAAATAGATGGAGAGAAAGTGAGAGAGAGGGAGAGGAGAGAGAGAGAGAGAGGAGAGAGCAAGCGAGAGTGGGAGCGAGAGAATAGAGAACTTACGGTACATTTTGAAAAAATGTTTTAAAGGAACGGTAACAGCACCAAATTACCCGACCTAAAAAAGAAAGCAATAAACCGGTCAAATGATGATGATGGTTCCCTTTTTTCGTGTGATTGTTGTGCGAGCAAACGGGGGCAATTGGGGGGTGCTATAAACTGTGCGCCCCCCCCACTCCGTTTGGCCAACCAGGCTAACTGTCTGGGTATCTCTCTCTCTTTCTCTATCTCTTTCTGTCTCTCTCTCTCTCTCGCCACTCGTCATTTGAACTCGTCCAGTCTACAGTGACTCATCTGCAAAAATTCGGCCCCACACTGCGCGAACAAATAATTGGTCAGAAACAGGAATAAACGGAAAAAACGAGAGTTTCATAATATTTATATAGTATTTAAGCACTAATAACTTTAATAAACCGATGAACTAGATTTTATATTGTTTTTTAACGACTTTTTCGCTCTTTTAAAGATATAAAGATATTTAAGGCAGGATGAGATCTTAATTGCAGTTTATTCAACAAGTACATCCTCAAAAAAGTAGAAACATTTTTTCAAAAATACTTTGTAGAGCGGCGTGTTTGAATATCCTCTGTAGGTAATGAAATCGTCTACAGTACTCCCACGAAATAATCTGAAATTATTTCTATTTAGCGCGATTTATATAAATTAAAATTTGGTAGTCATCTACCGAATTAAATTTGTATTGGATTATCATAAGAATACATGCGAGCAATTGTCGAAGAATTTGACAGTTCATTCTACACAAAAAAGCGAAACATCTTTGTAAATTTTTATGGAACCCATCCGAAACCAGCTTAAAGGGACGGGAAAGGCGGTAAGATTATCGATTTTAAAAAGGTTTGATGGATTTTATGATTTTTAAGTTTTTAGGAGCAAGAAAATGATATCGGAAATGTCCACTACAATCAAGCCGGAAAATTTTTTTTATTATTCATTCGGAGGACGACTCCCAAGTCAAGATTTATTTAGCTCAATTACGGCGATGAAACACTTTTTAGTAACCGGTTCCCTGTCCGACCTTAATTTTATAGTTTAATTGAGTTTGACTAATTTTCTAGGATTAGCAACTAACAAAAATCGGTCTTGCGAATCAAACAGTTCTTTGAGTAATTAAAAATAATTTGGTCGTATTCATCCGATAAAAGAGTAAAACACAATTTTCTGTTGGCCAGGTGTCGGTTCACAACATTAATGCCAAAAACCTTTCGATTTCGATTTTTTTTCCATTTAGCAAATGATATTTTCGAAAATCAATAGTTTCCATAAAAAATTCATTAATCCAGTTTAAATTCGATAAAGAATCATTTAGTTAAAATTAACAAGTGGCTAGAATTTTAATTGGCGGCGCATTGAAGGTCTCATTAACAAGAAACCTTACAATTTTACGAAGGGCATTGGTGTAACACACTTTTTGCCAATTTGATTAGGAAGAAATTTACAAAAATTCCACGAAGACCCACTGGAAAGTTATCCAAAGCTTTGCTTATGCTATTTAACTGAAACATTTTTAAACCTTGGAAAATTTTGAACTTTTGCATTTTTTTTTACAAGAAACTAAATAAATGCTAAAGACAACATTGAGAAATTGTTTATGTCATTTAAATAAAACATGTTTTGGAAGCAACAAAAATAGGGTTGATAAAAATACAGGGTGTCCCATAAAAAAGCACCCCTCCGGCATTTCGCCGTATTACATCCGATCGGTCCGAAATTTCGACTAGAGGTGTATCAGACCCTAAATAACCACAATCCTGACTTATAGCCCGCCAGCTACAGTAATCTTCGAGATACAACAAAAATAAACTTTAGTATCCGTTTTTCATATGGTTTTCGTCGAAATCGACCCTTCGAATATTAAGTGAAAATGAAGCGGCAAGCCTGCTTTACCCCTAGAATTTTTTTTTCTGATAAAAATTAGTGAAATAACCGTTGATTTCAACAATTTTTGTAACCCAAAGTCATCCCCGATATTAAGCAAAATTAGGGATTCGCAGCCGGAAGTCGATGCAAATCGATGCAAAGTCCAAAAAGATAGCCGAAAAAACTGTTAAGAACCGCTTAAAAAACAGTATTTTGACGATAACTCGAAAACTACTGTAGCGATCGGTCTAGAAGTCAGGATTGTGGTTATTTAGGGTCTGATACACCTCTGGTCCAAATTTGGGACTGTTGGGATGTAATACGGCGAAATGCCGGAGGGGTGCTTTTTTATGGGACACCCTGTATACCCATTGCTACTTTTATACCCCCATAAATCCAATTTATATACCCAAACTGTTTCAAAATTTGCCCAGCCAGATCGGTCGGTCCGGAAATCTGACCAAATATAGGGGAAATCCTGCCCCGTTCTGCGCCTGAAAACATATGTTATGGCTTTTGGTGTCGTGTCGCAAATATTTTGATCTAAAAAGGCGCTGACAAAGCCCCGACCGTTCTCCGCGTTTTCTATATTTTGACCCGGCAACGTGGGACGAGCGGATAGATCACCGATCGGGCGATCTTCTGCTAAATTTGGCAAAAATTAAGACGCCCACGATTCATAAAATTTTGAAACTTTTTCGCACAAATTCAGTAGACTAAAAAATAAAGTTTTTGAATTGCTTTAATCAAGTAAAAAAATCAAAACCGGAAAAACCGTCTAAACTACTTTCCAAAGGTTCGAAAATTCGAAAACTTGGCTAAAAAATGATATTTTGTATTTTTGATATGATTTATATTAATTTTTATCATTAGTTAAAGTTATCTTAATACATATAAATGGAATTATCTGGAAACATAGTTAATACGTTCCTATCAATCTTCCCAACATTTTTTTATTTTGATGAAATGGGGCAGTAATTCAATTAAAAATAAAATTTGCAATTGAATCTGAATTTTCTATTTCTCTAAAGTCTTTACGGTATAAGCATTTTTTATATGAAAGCGCATGCAAACACTCCTAGAAAAGACAGATAATTCTAGTATATCAGGACGCTAAAT